GAAACCCATGGGTTAGTCATTCAGGTTCATTGGGCTGACAAAGTGAAAAGATTACTTTTATCCTGTTGGCAGAGAAAGCCTCACTAGCCTTTAGAGAATATACAAAGCGCTGTGACACATTACTGCAGTGTCACTCTGTGGGAATCGTGGGAACCTGGGAACGCTGAACGTAAATGAGGAAGTCCGTTTTCTAGGGCTGTACTATTGGTTGCTGTGCTTTTTACTGCATGAATTCAGAGTAATCAACTACTTAAAGCCAGAAATTGAAAAAAATGGGGAAAGGGTTATGTAACGCAATGCCTGTGAAAGCTGGGGGGTGGATTTGACATCCTCTCCAGAAGCGCTGGAGACTCTCCAGATATGGCCACAGCATTTAGCAGGAAGAGACATTACTCCTTATTCTGTCTAGTCCCTGTCCTGTCTTTGGTCAGCCCCCACAGCACCCTACAGCATGGCTCTGGAGCCCCAAAGCCCTGTTGTACCCTCAGCAGCGCAATCCCCAGTGCTGCTAGGTAAGACTGAGCTGCAGCTGGCATGCGCTGCCAAAGTGTGGCCAATCCATTCATCCCTCTCTCTTCATGCTACGAATGAGTAAGGCATGAACCTGGTGTGGATTGATGGAGTAGTCACCCTAGCAGTGTTATGTCTTGTCCCTTTCCCAGCCTGTGGCTTGCATCTCCTCTGTGCAGCCCCACATGCAGCCTGTTTCTTCCACATCTCTGTAGGTTGGCTTCCCCCAGCTCCACCCACTGCCTCCTGTTCACAAGCAGGATCACAAGGCTTCACTTGTTCTTCATATGAGAGCATACCCATTTGCTCACAAATGTCAGGCAACAGGGCTTTGCGTTCCCATGGCAGTTGGGCAGCAGAAGTTGAAATAGTGATCGCGGCAGAGTGCTGACACGTGTTTTTCATTGGCACGGGGAAATTGCAGTGATCACCTGCTTTAGCTTGATGACAAACAGTTGAGGGCTTTTCTCTGTAGCAGGAATATGCAAGAAAGCTGGGTTTACATTGAATAGACGGATGCATGGATGGGTGGATGGGTGAAGATCCTTGGGCAACTAAAATCAACTTCCACAGAACTTAGTACTGCAGGCCTAGTTTCCTTCTTAAACCCAAAATTTCTGCCTTAGACAAGCCTCACTTTCCTAGCACCTGTGAAGCAGGATATGGAACATATAAAGCCAGAAAATGAACAAACTTCAGCAAACTCTAGAATTAGATGCACTGCTTCAAGCCTAAGACATGGTCCTTATAGAGCAATCCTGGAAGTTTGTAGTTTGTAAATAACTAAAACAATGTTCAAGGTCAGTTTATCTGTCACCTTTCAAAACACTAATTTCATTTAAAAGATGGGTGCTGAAAGTGGTGTCAAGTGGAATGACATTGTATTGTTGAAAGTGCACCTTTTCATACGTGAAACGTTGGCAGTTTCCCCTTCGAAGTTCTTTGGAAGACATCACAGTTCAGGGATTTGGCATGGCAGTCTCCTCCCTGTGGAGAGTTTGCACATTGCAGAAGCTAATTCACTAGGCTTTCTGGTTTAGATTCTAGCCCAGTATTGCTATTAAAAGCAACTAGTGAACATAACACAAGGCTGGACTAGGGGATGCTTGCTTTCATAAACTGACATTTGGAAGCAAATACTTAAGTCCAAGAAAGGATCTGTGGATATGCAATTCTATTTCAGGTAGGCAGCAAGAAAATATATCCTAATTTGTATCCATAAAGTGGTCATTTTTGCAGCATTTTTACAGCTACAGTATGGATTTTAAAGTGATAGCATGTTAAGTTAAAACTGTAATTCTTTTAAGCCTGTGATAACCTTAGCAAGACGGCATACGGTATTTACCTGCTACTGTCATCTGCTTAGCACACAACCATTTTTGAATTATGTGTATCAAGCAACACTGCAATTACAGTGTGCATAGCAGGGACTTTATCCTGCAGAATGCTGATGATACCTGAGAGCTGTGTAATACTTGAGTTTCTTTCTACAGCATATGCAGAAGGCATATCCCTTTGAAGCCCTCAGTACCTTTAAAATTTGGTCAGTGTAGTCATGTTTTCCTTCGTTGATCCTTCTTGGAAAACACTCCTTATCCTTGCTGAGAGTTTGTCAACAACAGCAAAAAAGCACTCCACCTTTCTTCACTGCTGTTATGGCACAACTGTGGGTACTTGGACTCAACAGTCCAATAAAGACTGCAAGAAGCTCACAACTGACTGGCAATTGGTTTCGGGCATCCTGTGAACAGTGGTGTTCAAGGAAGCTCTGAAGCAGGTGCTTCATTTTAAGCATATGCCTAACACAGCTCTTAGCGCTGTTCTGAGCTGAGTGGGTGTTGACTCAGTAACCACTGATCATTAATAGAGAAGGAAATACGTGTCTAGAAAAAGTGCCTTTGGTCAGGCCCTGGCCTGTGCTTTTAATGTGGCTGAACTGAAGTCTGAGTTGAAACGGAAGGTGCTCTTGGACCACGGGTAGATGCTCAGCCTGCCACAGGTGATAGTGTTGCACAGATATCCTGTCTTCATTGTAACGCCACCTGGCAAGAAGAACAGCCCGTATAATACTTTCATTGATAGTTTGCAAGGCATTAAATATTATCTTCATGAAGATGCTGAGGCATTGGAAACAACTTTGCCTAAAATGGTTGATATTGGCAATGATAGAGATGGAGTGACCTCAGGACTTCTCAGTCCTGGACAAGTGTTCTGCCCAGTGGAATGTTCTGCCTGGAGGGACAAAAATGGACACAGCTACAGGCATGATGATGTGGGAAGAACACGGAAGAGCCCTGTGGCTCGTGCCTATCTGTAAATTGAATTCTTGGTGTCAATACTGATGAGTCAGTCTTGCTGTGACTGCAGAGAGAGACAACCAAGTCTGTGGTGTTTAGATCAGTTAGTCGCAGAGACATCATTTGGTGGCAGTTTATCATCATCACTCTAGAGCTGTATCACTCATTCTACTGAATTACACTGGAAACTTGTCATGGAGTCCCACCACAAATACACTGTGGTTCTCTAGCAAGGAACCACGGGAAAAGATGGGGAGAGTGGGTTTTTTAATTGCTTTTTCAAAATCTCTTGATGTAAGATGTGACAAATAAGAAAAAAAATAGAGGCACATTTTATTTTTTATAGCTTTCATTAATTTTTAAGGAATGAGTCAAAGAAATTGCTGAAAAGAACCAGTAGCAGAGGCTATGTGATGAGCAGATCTCAGAACCATTTTAATGTTTTGAGGAGACCAAAATCTTCTCACCACTCACCGTCTTTTAATGGCACTTGCCCTTTGTCCGGTTGTATGTGGCTGCATGTTTCTGAGGGTCTAACTTTTCTGACGTTCTAATGAAATACCTCTGATGATGGGGGTAAAAGTGGTGTTCAGAGCTGTTTGGTTGCCATGCCAGTTTATCTTATCGTAAAGGTGGGAAACTGAAGCTCTGTTTGCACCTCTGCATGTTTGTGGGTGACTTCAAACTCTCCACACCGTTGAGTGACTCTCAGTCAAACATGATTTAAAATACTGATGCACAGAGCCTTGCAGCCAGTCTGCCTGCCATGGGGGTGACTGTAACACAGAGACAAATGGGCCGAATTGAGCAAAGCACTTAAAAATGTGTATCCGTTCTCTGCCAGTGGAGTGCTTGCGACTGTGTTTTTAAGTCAGGCAGCGTGGCCAGGAGCTGAAGTCAGGAGCCCTACCTTTCATTCGGCATCCCGACAAAAAGCACTCTTCCATCGCTTACATGACATCTCATTTAGGGGGAGGAGAAGAACAGGCCTAGTAATCGGCCAAGTCTGAAAGTTTTAGCATGGCTTTCTGTTTTTATGGAATTGGTAGTGAGCGTGGACTTGTGGTGGTGCACAGAACAGGGTTGAGTTTTCACAGCCGTAGCTTTGTTTTTGGTATGCTGCACTAATGCTGAGTTACTGACAAATAGCTGGAAATGGATGTTCTGCATGATTTAGAAATAATGTGAACCCTGACTGAACTTCTGTTGGGTTTTCTTTCCATTTGCTCTTTCGACATGAGAACAAGGAGGGCATTATTTATAACAACAAATGAAAAGTCCCACAAGGAGAAGTGGTATTTTGAATTGACAGAATCCTGAAAGTGCAAATGTGGTTTCATTACTAAATACAACTTCAGAGAGGAAAATGAGAGTTAATCAAAAGTTAGATGTCCTTGAAAAAGCTTTCCTTTAATTTTTTTTTTGGACTTCCTTGGAAATATTCACAGCTGTCTCGGTGCAGAAGTAATCAGAATATGTCTATATCTAGGTCACAGTATTTCAGCAGTTACACTATAAAAGTACTTGAGTGCACGTCTTTATTGATGTGATCCAGTCAGAATGTGGCAGATCAAGAGCAATAAATTGTTTAGAAACTGGAAATAAGGTATTTTTTAACAATTAAATTGAAGTGTAATTTTAAGGAAGTATAGCATTCTGGTGAAAATGAAAGATGTCCGAAGAGACTTTCACAAAGATATTCATTCAGTGAAAGATCCTATCCAACCTGAGTTGATTTGGGACAAGAGTCCATGTCTTACAAGTTGTTTATTATCAAGGGAATATATCCAAAGGACTGAAAATCATTTTAAAGCTGTGGAGGACTGGATAGTTAATGTGGAACAAAGTAATTTGATGCATTAACTTTGGAAGTTATCAACAGAAAATAGCATTGCTATTTTCATTCAAAATTAGGATATTAAACCATGCAGATCCTGATCCTACTGCGTCACGCAGTCAGACCACTGGTTCTTCATGGATTTGAGGCTGATATTGCTGAGTTTCCAGGAGAATTATCAGAGCAGATTTCATTTTATATATCTTTTTTAGTTTTCTGAGTGTTAAAATGGAAAGTAAAACCTGCCTAATTTAAAGTGGGTTGTTAGACTAAATTAATTAGCAGTTTTATTCTTCCTGTTCCTTGGGTGAGGTGTGCCAAGCAAATGCTAATGAAGAGTTTGCTCTTCAGGAACAATGTCTGTGGAGATTCTGGTGAGAAACTTATTATGGTAGTGATTGTTACTGGGGGGAGAGGTGTTTGTACCATGAATCCCTAATTTTTAGAAGCTGCTCAAAGTGAATGGTATCAGATGGGAAGAAAACCCAAAACGTGGATTCTCCTTATTTAACATCGTGATACTCTTCCTTGTGAGGGTCTGGAGAAATTATTTCTGACTCTTTTATTTGTTTTTCTCAGGTTGGGGGTCACACCATGCTGCCCATTCGTTGGATGCCTCCAGAGAGTATCATGTACAGGAAGTTCACCACAGAAAGCGATGTCTGGAGCCTGGGGGTTGTGTTATGGGAGATCTTCACCTATGGCAAACAGCCATGGTACCAGCTGTCTAACAACGAGGTGTGTGTAGTAACATTCTCAACCAGCATCAGGAAGGCTGGTGTGCTAACTGTTCATGTAGCTTCTCTGGAGAAGAGACAGCAACAGATTTATTTAGTAATGGCAAAACTCCTGATATTGGGTATTTATGGTATTTTCATGAACTGTGTGATTGAATTTCCTCCTTTTCACAGTTTTGTCCTTAGGGTGGATAGAAGTTGTCCAAGCAGAACTATACCAGTTGAAATTTAGCTTTTTCCTTTGTACAGCAGTCTGCTCTGGGTATTGAGAAAGACGACGAAGCAATGAAAAAATTGCTTAGCTATCTTGTGAATGGGCTTTGGGTGATCTCAGTTCTGTATCGTACATGTCTCTCTTGCAAAGTGGTTGTCCAAAACCATTCTTGAATAGACTGAAGTAGTCTGAAAACCTCTTGATTTCCTGTCAGTCACTAGTAAACCCCTTCTGGAGATTAGCCATAGCGATGCTGTGGGAGGGAGGGAGAGACATTGATGCTCTGTGTGCGCAGGATGAAAACTTAGCCTCCTTCTGAGATGAGGTTGATAGGTGGGTAGGGAGAGGAGATGTGGGCTTACTTCCTGGCTATCATTCCCTCATGAGTGGTAGGGGCAACGCGGGTGAACTTAACATCAGTGAAGTTACCGCTCCTTAACAACCGATATTACAGTGATTTTTCCAGATCACATCCCGCTGCTCATGCAACTACCTAGAAACACAGCCCTTGGCAGAGTTGGCTGGGTGACTGCCAGCAGTGGGGCTCCTGTGATGATTGGCAGTTAACTCTTCCATGGGTGGCACCCACATAGATGGCACAGCTGAGCTGATCCTTTCCTTGTGATTTCTTATAGGTGATTGAGTGCATCACTCAGGGCCGAGTCCTGCAACGACCTCGCACATGCCCCAAGGAAGTGTATGACTTGATGCTGGGCTGTTGGCAACGGGAGCCTCACATGAGGCTCAACATCAAAGAAATCCATTCCCTTCTCCAGAACTTGGCCAAGGCATCTCCAGTCTACTTGGATATTTTAGGCTAAAGTCTCCTAGCGTTTCTTCTTATGGGCTGCGGGAATGAATGTGTTCAACTGCCGCTGAACTCCATTAAAATGTGTTCTTAACTTTGACAGTATTAATGACAAAGTTGCGGAGAAGCTTTCAAAGGGCAAGCAATGTGTACTTCTCCATCTGTAGACACAGTATTGACTTTCTAGACATTACTGAGATGTGTCTCCTCTCTCTCTCTCTCTCTCTTTCAGTTTCTATCATTTTTTTCTTCTCTCCTGTCTTTCTAATCAATTTGGCTTCTGCATTATTGTAACTCTGCATAGACAAAGGCCTTAAAAACCTGATCTGTTATATCAGCAGACTCTTCAGTTTGCCCACCACAACTAACAATGCCTTGTTGTTTTCATGCCTTTGATGTGGATGAAAAAAAGGGAAAAATATATTTGACTCGAACTTTGTGATTTCTGCTGTACAGCGACTGGGAGTTTCTATGGATTCACCTCAACTTTTTTGCTTCGGCATGTGGGTGGAAAAAGAAGACTGGTGTTCTCTACATGAAGCATGTTCCTTGCAGAGAAAAGCCAGATGGAAAAAAGACAGTCTTGTGTCATGCACTATCTGGAGGAACTAGGGGATCATATGGCATCAATCTCCACGAAAAAAAACACTGAAATGATTTGATGGAAGGCAAGAGGGAGTTTAGCACTCTTCCTGAAGAGTCTTTCTGAGGACTAAAGGGATTGTTCAAGGAGGTGCTTTGCCAGCACCTTTCATTGCCAGATACAAGTAAAAGGGGAAAAGATGCCGCCTGCACTGCACACAATTAAATGATAAACTAAACACACGTCCTTATTTTGTCTTCTGGTAGGATATTGTCATGCCAGTGGTATAAAAATGTTCTCCAGCTAGTCTTTTTTAATAAAGGCTGAAGCTAGGCTTATTAATGTACAGTATTAATTTCAGGATCATATGTCATAACTAAGTGTTTTGATAAGATAGGACAAGCTATAGATGCTGGGGCAGGTGTATCTTATACTGTGCTTGTCCAACAGCATATTCCTTCCTTCCTTCCTCAATCCTTTTTTCTTTATTTTTTTAACCGTGCAAGCAAAACTGTGCATGGTCTTTGTCGGTTAATGCCCTTTGTGCAGAACCTACGACTCATCTTGTAGTACACCGTAGTAGGAATAGCGAACTCATAACAATATAACTTATATTTCATTAGAAGGGGCTAATGGAGGGCATTAGCCATGTTAAAATGCCTTTACAATGTTACAGATACAATAGGCTGATATAAAATGAATAATCTAAAGCACGGAGATCACTAATTATGTTTAAGCCATGGCAGGGGATAGAGATCTCTAGAGAAAACAAATTACTCTGAGGTTATGGCTTACTATTCAGAGTGCAAAGACCCAGAGCTCAGCACCATGTTTGTGTTGGTACTAGTGCTGTCATTACCAACATCCACTCTTAAATAATTTATGTTTGGTTGAATTGGCATTGTATGTGTACAACATTTGCATGGCCACTGTGTTGATGACAGCTGCATGGGCATACCTGTTATTTTTCAAATCAGAAGTCGATGATTTTGAATTTAGAGCTAGGATTATTTTTAATATGAATTCTTAAAAATGAAAACCTACCTTACCTATTCCTCAAGACTTTTGCCTCCCTCTGTGAGGGGGCGTTACTGCAAAAAAGTTACCTTTATTTCCGTTTTCTCTTTTTGTTATTTCTTATTGATATGAGCCAGATCAAAGTAGTCCTTCATCTTTGTGTTGGGGATATTTTATTTAATAAATTAAGCATTTTATTTTTGTAAGTGTTCCCATAGCACATCTAATATATGATTTTCTCACATATATTATTTATTGAGGCACTTTAGGTTTTTCCTTCAGAAGCTTTTAGAGCTAGCTCGTAAAGATTCTGAACATTTTCAGAAGAAAACAGTTCACTGGACACTGATGAAGTTTCACCCTTCTCAATGTCATTGAAAAGGCAGCATTACAAATAAACATGACAGTGTAACTATAAAGCCATACTCAGTATTTCTTTAATAAACTAGATGTTATTTCTTAACCACTACTGAACTGGAAACACACAAAAAGCCAGAGGAAGATTCCTACATAATGGGCCTTAAGATTTTATCTAGACTGTCTTGGAAGTTCACACAGAAAGCTAGATAAAGACCGAGCATCCGGAGAAACCCATTCTCTTGAGAATCTGAATGTTATGTTTTTAAAGGAGTTTGATTTTCAAAATAACAGTGGTGGAGAAGAAAGGTGTCAGAGTCCACTCTAACTGTGCAGTGGGAGGAGGCTGCAGTGGTGGAGGGGGGTGCTGAGTTTCTACCTGCTGTGTTCTGTCTTAGTTTCTTGCGAGCTGAAGAAAGAGGCATCTGAGATGCTTCTTCCATTGGGAAGCAGGCTCCAGCCTGAAAGCAAACAGGTGGGTTTTGCTAGCACTGAAAGAATGTATACCAAAAATAACCACAAAACCCTGAAAATGTACTTAGTGGCATCTTCTTTTTGATTTACTAGTGAGGCTGTTATAGTCATTTCAGAGAATAAGTAGTGTTACAACGCATTGTGCAATAACATAGCAGTACGTTAAACTTCTAAAGGACCAAATGCTCTACAGAGGCACCCGTATAGATAACCTAGACCTATATCATTAATGTTCTTGGTAGTGCATAAATTGTGTAATCACAGTAGACAAGCTATAAACTGTAGCTATACATAGTTTGCGTTTGTTCATGGAAAGGTGGGTAAGCATAGCAAAATGAGCAGAGAAGAGGAAGAAATATGTTCAGGTCACAATGAAGGGTGAGTATATGTGCATATTCATCATGCTTGCACTGTCAGCTAAATCGTGTACACTGAGTAAATATGACAATCAGGCTCATTTAAAAAAGTCTTTCTGGACTGTGCTATGAACTGATCATATATATAACATATATTATATATGAGTGTTTGCATATGGCATATATATATACACACACATAGCATATACATGTATGCCTATGTCTGTTGTATTTTCTCTATATATGTGCAGACATGCATGCACATTATGTATGGGCTGTGTGTATATGTATAGATTTACATACACCTACGTTATTACAACTGATGATTAGAGTGCTATTAATAAATTGATAAAGTCTGCTGAGTAACCCAAATAATTTTTTTTTCTTTTGATATTTATTTTTCTGTGTTTGTAAGATCAGCTTTTTAACTGGTGTGCAGCAGAGGCAGTGCTAGAATGCCAGAGATATAACAATGAGCACTTTTCTTCCCCAGATGATTGCATAAGAGCTTTTCTTCCATTCCCATCTCACTTGTTGATTTCTCACAATGAAATGAACAGACAAGCTTCCAAGCTCAGAAAAGAGGGTTTGTTTTACTGCCATTTCTGGGTTTGTGCTATTGTTGTTTTATTGTCCTAGAATAACAGTGCAGCTCCATTAGCATTTTATACTCGTCTGCAGTAACGAAATAATTCCAAGAATGAGCTGGACTATTCAGACTGCAACACGACTTGTACGACGACGAGAACGCCAAAATTCAGCAGTAATAATGGCAGCATTCGCCACGTTCTGTCCTTCACTCTCAATAGGTCTGCGGAGCTCAGAACTGGCCGTGGAGAACAGATACTTGTAAAGCAACAGCACCCCGTGATGCATGATGGCGTGTACCCTTCTTAAAAGGATTTCACTCGTTTTGATTTGTAAAACAATATATACTGTCTACAGTTTAATAAGTAACTGACTATATTTTATCTTTTTGTTTCTTTTTCATCCTTTCTTGTTGTTTCTTTATCTCTCTCCTTCTTTCTCTTTTCCTTTCTTTCCTATTCTCCTTCTTTTCTCCTTCTTTTCCCTTCCTTGCTCCCTTTCCCCTCCTTCACCCCTACCCCCCCACGCCTTTTTG